GTCTATTATGCGAGATATATGATGAGAGCCGCGTTTTCTATCTCTTAATATATAGAAGATTATTGTCGTTACGAGAAATCCGGTTAGCGTTTCATCGTCGACCATTAAATTATCTCGTGTCAAGAATGATAGTCAAAATTTTCGTTTAATCTATATAGTAATTAAATGACTTTGTCAAAATATTAAACTGTGGCTCCTATATTTTGTTAATGAAAAGACTGAATTGGAAATTAAATGGGTCACCAATTATTAATTAAACGCCTTGAGCTTGTCAATTGGGGTAACACAAATATGACATATAATTGTGTGATTTGTATTGGACTGATTCGCTTCAATTTTTAATTAGTCGATTTTATTGGACTGATTTTCACTTTTGACTGATGTTACCAAACTTCCTAATTAAAAGTACCTAATGATTAAGTTTAAAATGGAACAAAAATAAACGAATTAAATACCCAAATAAAAATAAAAAAAGAATGATATAGAGTTGTGCAATTAATAAGAAAAAAATTAAAAAGGTCTGCGAGAAACTCGACAACCGCGATACATATGAGCTTCTGAATAAATTTTAAATTAACCGAATAATTCAAAATAAAAAAAAATTTATTTCTATATAAAACATTCATAATCGATTATTCAAATTACCCGTTAACGTGATTACTTATATTTCGCTCCGCATTTTCAGCCGCATTATAATGCATACATACAAGGAATAGGGTCATAAATACATACCACACACACACACATATTGCTTTTTCACATATAATCAATAATAAATTATGTAATAGAAATAATAGATTATGCCTACACATTTAAATACAGCCGATTCACACAATAGCTTAAATATTATGTCAATATATGTTACTTAATATTATTATAGTTATCCACCCATCATCCGCATGATGTCGAGATTGAAATTCATTTAAAATGCAGACAAACGTTAGTACCTGCGCGACCGAAATATATAGAAGATGATTTATTTAGGATAAAATGAGGCGAAAACAAATTATCTGGATATTTTTAAAAAAATTCCTACGTGGCTGAATGAAATGCAAAATGAATATTATTTATAAATAATCATTAAATTAACTATTATATTTAGTTTAAAAAGACAAAAGAAACCAGTTATAATTAGCTCGCGCATAAAATATATATGTAACGAAAAAGAATCGCACGGAAAGACAGTTACTTTATCTTGCTTACTTATTATTTGTTATTTCCTGAGGTGTTCTGGTTATAGTATATATTTATTATTGATGACGATAATTATTAATATTATTAATGATTATTATTGATAATTAATTAATTATTATTATTATTATATTATTATTATTATTATTATTATTAATTATTATCCAAACTATATGAAATGCATTTTAATATATTTTCATTTTTGTATATGCAAAATGTACTGTTTGGTTTAATAATTTTGTTGTTTTTTTTTATTTTATTTAAACATAATTTATGATAAAACCTATCACATCCTTACATACAATAGTTTCAAGTCTAAATAAGCTAAGCTACTAGCATAGCTGCTCAAATTATTATTATTCATAGACTTAAGCATATCATGGCATCATTTGCTGATTTCAGCCTTAAGGTAAGTTAGCTTAATTGTTCCAATAGGGTTCATTGTAACTGTGTTGTTTCTACTGTGACGTCAGCCATAAAATCCTAACAATTGAATTAAATTTTGGTCATTTTTTAGAAGTGATATTTTATTGGTCAACAGGGTTGTTAATGTCATGCACTAGAATTACTGTTGAGATGATTTAAAAAAAATTATATCACCAATACAACTCAGATTTTGTTTCCAAATAAAAAATCACTTCTAAGCAATCCCTAAATTTTTTTTTTTTACAATTACAATATAAGAAAATGTTAAAAGAGAACAATAGTTATCGCAGCACAATATTGAATCTGTCTGACTTGAAATGAGTGAGAAAAGGAGAAAAAAGATACAAAGCTTCTTAAGATATGTTCTCATTTTTAACAACCTTAGTGTAACGTATAAAATTAATGAGATTCATATTGAGCTGCGAAGACTGCACCTCTCCTCCTCAACCACGCTTTCTTATTTTCAATATGCCAGTCGCGAATGTCTTTCGTTAACAATGAAATTGTCGTTATAGTCAGACCTGATCCTTCATTTGCTAAGAAATAAATTCTATAGCGTTGGTGATATATATAAAATAAAATAGTCGTAAAGCTGCTACATTGCAATACACATATAGAAACAATAGACCTGCAAGAGAGTCTAGAATGGCGTTAAAGCGTTGCGGGATATTGTAACGAAAACTGCATGCTTTAAATGTCTTCCAGAATGCTCAGTGTCTTATGTTAACCCTTATAATATTCAACATCGGGTCGTTATTTCTTTAATAAGACAAAAAAACTGTTGTCTCATTTTAAATTGCATCCAGCTGAGGTATTTCGTTTCATAATTTTTTTCTTCATTGTTAATTTTTGAATTCATTTTTTAATTTCAATCGCGCGTGATAATTCCAGACGTAGTTATACAAAAACACTTCTTTAGTTTTATCCCTACCTTGTGAACCAAACTAGACATCCTCACTTACCCCCTCGTCTCCTTCATGCTGCTGCAGTTTCTTTTGCCTGAAGTTTAATGAGACACAACTTGAGAAATTGGATAAAAAGCAATTTTCAATGAAAATAAATGGTTACGGACTTTGCCAACGTTTTTGCTTCGTCATTCGTTCGAGAACAGAACATAAAATGATATTATATTCAAGAATAAGAATAGTGGATAGCAATTCCCTACAGCTTTTCAACCCTCAACCGTCAAACAATAACTTTTCTGAATAAATGAAGCGCTTCTATACTTATTGACATTTAATTCGTTGCAACAATCGTGGAATATGACATTTTCTGTTCATTTTATTACTCCACACTTTCACTTCTTCCCTATGTTGATTACTCAGACTAACCATTCAACTAAATGCATTTATTTTTTTTATTGATTTCAATTTTCTCTTTCATGATAATTAAAGAGAAATTTTTTCCAAATACTCAAGAATGGGTTATTTTATTCTAAAAGATTTTGATTCATCAACTTATCGGTTATTCTCCACTGTTCATTCATGTCAAATTATTCAAAGTAATCATTTTCACAAATTATCCAATTATTTTTTGTAGATGATAAAAGAAAAAATCCACAATTTGTTAGAAAATAAAGTCCATAATATTTCTATGAATAAATAGATAACCTGGTAACATAAATGAGGTTTGACGAAAAAAGATAATACCGATAGAGTGCGTAGGTCGATCAATATATGCATAAATGGAGTGAGAGAGGTTAAAGGAGGGGAGGGTAGGAAAAATGTAAAGAGAAAATGAAAATAGAGATGTTAGATTGGTGTAGGTAAGTGTGTGGGGTGCTGCATGAGGTGCATTGTTGTGTTTCAGTGCTCGCCTCCATGCCAGGGCTGACCTTGAATACACCATCGGCCAAGAAGCTGTTCACCTGCCAACTGTGTGGCAAAGTGCTTTGTAGCAAAGCATCCCTGAAACGCCACGTCGCAGACAAGCACGCCGAGCGACAGGAGGAGTACCGATGTGTCATCTGCGAGCGAGTCTACTGCTCGCGAAACTCCCTGATGACTCATATCTATACCTATCATAAGAGCAGACCTGGCGACATTGACATTAAGTTCTTTTGAAGGTTTAGATAAGGTAGGGCCACGTACTACGAAATTAATCGGTCTTCATTCTTTCGTTCTTTTTCTTTTTATTTCTACTGATCCTTTCAATTTTTTTTTTTCACTCCTCTCAATGCCTATTTCAAGTACTATCCCACAATATAATAAATCATCCTCTTTCTATTTTCCTGCTCTGGTATTCCATTTTTTGCAGCAACTGCATGTTCGACTAACCGACCCAGACATATATATCTTCATTGATTTCTAGTGTCTTCTCCTGACCAAAAATAAAACATTTATTTTACTCCTTTTGGTTTTTAAATTTTAAGCATTTTTTTTTATCTCAACTACGATATCACTTAATTATTATTTAACCTTAATTAAAAGGAATACGTATCTTACTTCTATCTGCATGAATGGGTTATTGATAAAAAATAAATAAAATAAAAAGTGTTTCTTGGAGAATGAAACAGAATAATTGAAAAAAAAAAAAATAAAATAAAAAATTGTAATTTTATTATTTATTGATGACACTTGGGTATACTATAGCGGTGATTTTTAATGGATGCTACGGTATATAATATATAGGCAGAATATATGACCGTTGTAATATTGCACTCGTATATTGGAAATATAAAAATAATTTAGTAGGGTTATTAGGAGGGTTTATCTTTACATAATGGGTATACTAACATGCTTCAGGTTCCCTATTACTAACTATTCCTTCTACCGCCTTTGTCTATATTTATAATTTTTTTAAAAAATTTTATATTACTTTCTTTTTCACGTATTCACATTTTATTGACGAGCATATTTGCTTTTCATTCAGATTTCGTAAAAGCTTTTGATGTTGAATGTTGTATGCATGTCAATCACTTTCACTAGTTTCGTTTCATTTTCCTTTCTTTTGACACTCTCGTGAAATATTGCATGTACAATTCACTCTATGTATCGAATATTTTGCGTTATTTATGACACACTTTTTTGCTAAATAAAAATAAAGTAAATTATGCATGAAAAATATGATTATTAAAACACTTAATTTTATTTTACTTTAATTCTAAATTTTCTATTCTTAGCACGATTAAATAGACTACTTAGCATGGTTATAATAGCATTTAAAATTGTCTACAAGTATTTATTAATAAACTTAAAAAATAAAACAATATAACCTAATTAATTATCCCAATATATTTATCCACTGAATCCTAGACTAAAATAGAAACACTGACTTTAGTCTTAACTTGAATCAGGAATTGAAAAATAAAAAATTGATAGAAAAATATAAAATTGAAATAAAAACAGAGTAAAACGAAAATTTGATTAATGATATTTTTTCAGGTACAGGGAATGGGATGCATCCAACGACGACGCTTCCCACAAACATGTACCGAATGCCACCGCCTACTGCAGGCGGCATCAACGAGCCACAAGAATGTCCCTACTGTCGTCGTACCTTTTCCTGCTATTATTCATTGAAACGTCACTTCCAGGACAAACACGAACAATCAGATACTCTGTACGTGTGTGAGTTCTGTAATCGTCGTTATCGCACGAAAAATTCACTTACGACGCACAAGAGTCTTCAACATCGTGGTTCGAGCGGCATGCTCAAGAGGTTACTCAAGACTACAGCTATGAAGAGTGTCCTCGCACAACACCCACCGATGCAACAGTTGCCTCAATGAAAATGGTGGTCTGTTCGTCATTGCTCTCCTACTGTTAGTAGAACACTTAATGGTCGTTATCACACCAGTTACCGTCATTATTGAATCACTGGTAACATTATTATAATTTAAGGAGACAATACGATCGGATGAAAATTTAGCTAAAACTTATCATGATCGTCATTTGATTAATTATAATCATTTCGTGATCTCGGACTCGTCTTGCGATTGATCGTTGTTTTGGACAATCAATGGGAGTCGTGTTAGCTCAGTCAGTAAATTATAAAGAAAAAAAGAAAATACATATGTAATACTGTCATGAGTGTTCTTTTTATGAAATTGGCTCAGCGTATCGCCTCGCTTTCTATTATTCAATTCGACTTTTTTTTTCATATTCGTCAAGACTGCGTTGAATCCAAAGAATGGGGACGAATTGACTGAGAAATTAAAATAAATTTTACGTAATTAAGCTTAACCAAAATATTATTAATCGATCGGGAACATTCCAGAATGTTATTAAGAGGCAAAGAAATCGATATAAATTAAAATATTTTTTTTGTTATTAATAGAAAAAAAAAAGAACTGATTAATCACCGATCGAAGAAAAGATTTTAAAAAAAAAATATTTATGTATAAAAAGAAAAAAGTAGATGTGACGAAAATTTTATTTAATTTGTGGAAATGAGATAATTTTAATTATTATTTTTTTAATTAAAGAAAAATGGCAAGTTTGTTTTTTAAGCACTTTCGTTATGAATATGTGCGTTAACGCGTTAGGGAAAGCAGGATAATGATACTGGCGTGATAAGTAGACGTCTCAATCCGCAATTACGAGAGGTAGAGACTAGTAAAAGTGACTCGTATAAGAAATTTAAAAAAAAAAAACAAGAATTCTTAATTGCACGTTTCATTATTTACTTTGATGTTCATAAAAAATATAGATGTACAACAAATTGAAACGTGCAATAAGAAATGAATAAATAAATGCAAATATGATGTTATATTATTATATATTAATAAGTCAAGACAAATTTAGGATAGCCATAAACGTCTTAGGCCTAAGTGGAATTCAATTACGAAATCTAATGTGCTCAAGTTCCATAAAGTCTTACAAATAATAAATAAAAGATAACAGTGGCAGATAGATAAGAATAAAAATATTAAATACTATGGATTCATACTTTATAAAGGTCCATCACACATGCAAATCACAGACTATATTTTTAATTCTATAAAAATAATATTTTGAACTGTGTACATATATACATACATATATATAAATATATATTATATATATTATATTCGTACAATATTAATTACAAATAATGTTTCTATGTTTAAATTTTCTGAAGGTAAAAAAAGCACTACCTTACATTCAATCTGAGTACGACATCAGGACTCTTTATATATAAATATATATAATAAATATCCTCCTTTTTCTTATAGCGACAGATATGTCAGATATATCCATTTAATTTCACTATTAGCTCTAATTGTTACTAGCATTTTATCAGGAATCACGTCCCGATGTCGTGCATCATTTTTTAAACGAGTAGACATAACAGAATAATCTGTTTGATCTTTCTATAAAACTTTTTCATTTCTACCAAGAGTTTTTTACTCAATATCATATTTATCACTGAATTCTGTTGATGGAACTTTTGGAAATTGACTACTTGATCACTATTACATATAAGAATGATTTATGGTAGCAGTGGATTTTTTTCAAATGATTAAAGAGCTTTTATAAATATTTATCAAGCAGATTATTTGTTTGAAATATTTCCCAAAATAATCCGTACTGAAAATGGTACAAGTAAAAAATTCTAACAGTTCTTTTTGATCGTAACATATTCAGGTGTGAAACTCAGAGGTAAAGCACAAAAAATTGTGGTTTTATCGAATATTAAAAAAAAAAATAAAAAATGCCATTATTATTAATGAGCAAGTACAAATAATTAAGAAAGAGCAACTATATTAGATTCCGTAGTAATGAATGAAAAAAATGTGTGAATTTAAAAAAAGAAAAATGAAATTAATTCTAGACATATCGATTGATTACGGAGTATACCATAAAATTATACGATTTAGATATAAGTATCTCCACGGAGTTCACTTTGACGACGATGGAGTGCAAATTTGTGTCAAAATTTTTTTTAAGTCGTCTGTATAAGCTCTAAAAAAATTTTTGAAAATATTTGCAACTCAACAAGTTATTATCAATAATCATAGTGTGAATGACGAATGAAATTAAGAAAAAAAGAACGAAAAAAATGTTTTTCTAAAACCAAAATTATCTTTAATTCTTTCATGCCAAATTTATTTTTGACTTTTATATATATTGTAGATGTAAAAAAAAAAAGTAAGCTCAAATATGGAGAATTATATCCTAGTCACATTTGGACTCTTCTGTGATACTGTGATAAAAAAAGGGAGAGTAAAGTTTAAAAGACACGAAAAAAAAATTCTTAGAGCTAATGAAATTTTCAAAAAGTTATTTCACACTATGAAAGTCATCGAATAGTTGCAAATATTATACATGATGAAGAACATATTGATTATATCGAAAAGTTCTGTGATGTTTTTTGAGTTGCTTGCACGAAAAGGGCTGTATTCAAAATTTTAATAAATAGTATGTTATACAAAACTTATAAATATACTATTTAAGAATTTTCAATATATATTTTTTCGTGGGAGTTTGTCTACTAAAAAAAAATGATATTAGTCAAAGGTATACGGATTCGAATTTATCGTAAATGTTGTGAATTTGGTCGTCAGAAGATAAAAATATTTCTGACCGACTTGATTAAATTAAAATAATTAAATAATGGAAAATTAAATCAGTAAAATGTCTGCTTAGTTTGTCCTAACTTATAATTATTTTTACTAAACTTTCATTCAATGATTATTTTTTATATGTGACTTTATTATTTTAAGACTATAATATTTTATCAAAACTTTAAGAGAAAAAAGTTCTTTAAATATGAACGATGAATGAAAGTAATTAAAATGTTTTTTAAAGAAAAGTTTAATTTTAATTGAGTATTGGATGCAGACGTTTTGCTACTTTTGAGTGAACCAAAAAATTATAATGTGCCAACGCATTGAGAAATCTGACGAAAATAATAAGTAATTAATGTAAAAATAGTTATCGAAAAATATTATCACACATTATTAAACATTACTACATTTATTTTTTTTGTCTTATAAACTTTAAGGAGGACTGAAAGAGGAGAATATTTTAAACAATTTTTATTTGCACTCTTTCGTAATAATGTAAATATGAAACGAAAAAAATATCCATAGGAATAAAGAGAAACTTCTACTATAGACTGGTATCAAGCTCGTTATGTAAACAGAAAATCTTTATTGATTAACTGTGGAAAAATGGAAATCATTGATGCCACTTATATAGAATAAAGCATTGAAGTATTCAGTTGTAAATTGAGATGAATATCATTGCGCCTTTGTGTTAAATGTATACTTGATGCTTTGTGAAGAATGTAATTTCGATATGTCAACCGATTTATCTGGAAAAAATTGACCGGAAATCAGGGATAATTTTTGGCATTAATAAGTTTATTTCGAAAACGTTATTATAAGATTATCAATTTTCTTCCAAATTAGTAATAATGCATAAGTAAATTTGAGATATTCCACTTCCGGCAATTTTCCTTCCACTGTGATCAGCAATTTTCGATTGTCAGCGTTTTTTAAGACTATTGTTTATTTTTACTATAATCGAAAATTATAAAAATATAAGGAAAGGAAAAAATGAACATTGTTACACTCTTTTGCTCGACATTTATCACGAGTTTGTAAAGAGTATAAAATCTCAATTTAATTTTTATCGCGCTGTGAAGGAATACATTTGTTACGTGTGAATTTAATTTCAAGAAGGCTGATTTTTATAATTTTTAAATGTCAGTGTAATTAGACAAATCGAATTTATTTTGACTTGTTTCCATTTTCGTTTTTTTAAATTAGGAAATTTAACTTATTAGACTGCTCCAATTGGTTTCAATTTTGTTGATCATGTGATATTGTTTTACCAAAGAATGCTACAAAATTAATTTAAAAAAAATATTTATTTAGCAAGAAAAACTGCAAACTGATCTAAATTAACAATATTCAAAGCTTGATGAAGATTGATTTTATTATATCAAACGGTTTTAGGTTTTAAAAAAATTTTAAAAATTAAAAATAAAAATGAAAAAAGAAACAAGCTAATAAAAGCGTTGAATAGTAATGGCAGAATTTTTCTTTGTTTCTGAATCTTCTTGAAAGATTGAGGAATTTTATTACAGCAAATTAGAAGAGAAAAATTAAAATTGTCGAACATAGGAGAAAGACTACTTAGATTTATTTTATAATGTCTTCAAAAAGACTTAAAATATAATATTTATATTGTGCCATAACTATTATTAATAACTTTTAAGTAGAAATTAATTGTTACAAAAAAAATTCTTAAATTTATCAAATGGGAAAATTGCAAAACAAAATTATTACTAGCTATGAATAATCATTGCGAAAAACTAAAAAAAAAAAATCTTGTTTTTTCAGAACGTTCATCACAATTTAGTAAACAAACTCTTTAAATGAAATAATTTCATTATTGTATGTTAATATTTTCTCTACAATAATTTTTTTTTGCTTTCCATAATCATCAAAAGCCTATGCCTCATTGTAACATGAAAAATTTCTTTTCTTTTATGAAAAATTATTTGATAAGCACCAAAGTTTGTGTTCGTACGAAATTATTAGTTAATAAGTTGGTGTTTTAATTATTTTCGAAAAATTATTTCAAATGATTTTCTTCAAAATATTAGGATTTTAATTATTATTTTTCTCATCAAAAAATAACTGTATCATGATAAAAAAAAAATTTGTAATTAGAAAATAACTCATTTACACTCGATGTATTTACTACATGATTTCATGTGCAATGTAAATTACAATAACAATTCTGAATTTAAGACTTTGATATTGATCGTCAATAAAATGTCGGAATTGGCGTAATTTTGTTATATGTAGAAAAACATCGAGCGTAAAAGTGCGAAAATGTGATAACAGTAAATCGATAACAAAAAAAATCAGTGATGAAATTGTCGACCACTGCCGCACATCATTGAAAAATAATTTGAATGCCCTTTTTTTTATCAGCTACTAGAGAATTAATAACAATAATACTAAGTAATATTAGAAGTTTTTCTCCTCTGTTCATATTTATAATTATGATTTATAAATAATACTTTTTCATGTTATTTCAATCCAGAATGTTTTTATGATCATATATTATACGATAGTTAGGTATCGCATTGCACTTTTTGTACTGTATATTTTTCTGTATTTGCAATATTCTTTATATAGCATTTTTTTCGTTTGTTTTTCCTACACACACTGATTAATTTTAATTAGATATAAATTTAGACACATCTGTTTAAGCAGTTTTTACATATATATCATCACAAGATATTGCTAATAGCAGTGAATCCTAATGAGTTGATGTTTGTATCTGAAATAATTAATCACAAATACTAATTGCAATGATGTTTCTGATGGACCATGTATATTTATAATACATTCACGCGGGCATAGGTATTTTAAAAACGAATGTATTATCATTATACAATACATAACATATTTTTATTAAGGGCTATTCAATGTACGTTAGTTCATTGATGTACGATATAAAAATTACGTAACAACTTTTACGTTACGTTATCATTTATGTACATACGTATACATATCTAGACATACATATTATGATAAAATAATAATATTTTTTAAGGTACTCCACTAGTTTTTTTCTCGCTATTACGTCCGTTGTCGAAGTGATTGTTGAAATATGTTTATGACGACTTGACAAATGCTTATAATTATTATCAGCGTATTAATGTGTTATATTATTAATTATTATTATTGATAATTATATTCTAACTATCTTCATTATTATTATTTCTATTAATATAATTATTATTATTATTTTTATTATTACAATGATTATTATTATTAATATTATGAATTATTATTATATGATTATAGTTATTATTGATGTTTATGTTGATTTCCTAAATTTCTTTACCTTAAATACATGATAAACTAAAAATTTAATATTATTCCCGTTTAAAAAATCAATTACGTTTGTAATCGTTGTGGGAAATTTTTCCCAGATTAAATAATAAAATAAACAATTTTTAAAAGCCAGGAAAAGTGGTTATATAAAAAAATTTGATAATTTTCTGATTATTTTCTTTGAATAGAAAAATTTGGTACAGATACAGTCAATGATTTATGTAATTCGTCCACATATTTTCCGTGATAATTAATGCTATCGAAGTCAAGGGCTGGAATGTACGATTCTAATATGTATTCAATGAAAGCAGTTGATTATGCTCACCCTGTTATTATAGTACATGATAAAGCTTGGCGAAATATTCTCTTGTATCAAAATAGAGTGATCTCTCGTACATAGTGTGGCCCAATAATGTAAAGTAACAAAGTGCAACACGCTGCCTTGCTAAACAATACAAGTACAAAATGAATACAAATACACTAAAAAAAAAAAAAAACTTGTCTTCGACTTAAAGTGAAGCAACACTTCTGGTAGTTAAGGTTTCGAAACAAAAATATTAATTTTAAGATATTAAATGAAAAAAGAATAATGAATAAATAAATAGATAAAAAAATTAATAAATTCTCTCCGAAAGTTATACCGCTGCTCATCTACGTTGAAGGCGACGTTTCTCATAAATACCTCAAATGTCGCAGCCTCGGATTCCAGAAAAAATGAACATCTCATCGATTTTAGAACGTACAAAAAATATTAACAGTAAATAAAAAATTCTATAATTTCATTAAAATCAAACAATTGACTTCTCAATATAATATTTTATATTTAAATAATACTTTTGATCAATATTCATTAATTTTACTTTTAACAAATACAAAAATCACTCATTATTTGTATAAAATAATTGTGAATAATCATTTAGTTTTACTGAAAAATGCTAACGGTTAAATTTTTGTAAATCAGGTGCCTTTATCTTAATTTGAAGTGATCAACAAACACTGCCAAGTTCACAAAAAATATAACCAGATCACAAACTATTTTTTGTAAAATTCAAAAGCACTATGAATAATTATCTGATATTTGAGGCTCGACAGTAACAAATTCTCACTTAAGCTACAATAGTTGTACTTATATAATATTCCTTGTACAATATACTTAATATAACTAATTACGGTTAATAAATAAATATCAATACCAGGAGTATATTTTTAAAACTGAAGCTGATCCATTGCAAAATAAATTCATGCGAATGGTAATGCTCCTGTCAATAACATAAATAAAATAGAGTAAAAATAAAATAGCTGCTGTCCTATTTTTTTGAAACAATTGTAATCTTCCAAAATTTATTAGTTTGTTATATTACATACTACTTATATGAAATGACTGCCATAATGCATTTGCAATAATTTGTAAAAAAAAAAGACCAGGAAATTTAGAATCATTGAAGAACATTAAAAAATAATTAATAATCATTTTTTCCAATCAGCTAATATTTTTTTAAATTAACCACCTTTGTAGGAATAGGATCGATTATATCATCGAAATAAATATTTCTTATAAAATCGTGGAGACTGTTATACGCTTGATTACGTTGTGGATATGTATTTTTTCTTCTTTGTTTTATTATTATTAGTATTCTTATCAATCGTTATTAAACATTCCATACTAAAATAATGAAAGATAATTAAGAAAGTTGTACATTCAATGAAAACAAACCCACTTATATATAAATAATTAAAATACAATCATGCTAAGCGTGATAAATGAGGGTTTAAGAAGATGTTTTCAATTATATAGCGTATCTTTAGGTTATGAAAATATATTATATGATCCTAGAATAATATATATATATATATATATATATTATAAATATGGAAAAAATATATATACATAATGAATAATATTATATATTGATAATTAAGTGTTTATTCGCATTTTTAACACAATAAGGATTTATTATAAAAATTCATTAATAGTTGTTGGTGTAATATTATGAAATAAATCTTTAATGATAGAAAATACATAATAATATTTTTATTCTTTATTTCGTTCAAAAAGCATTCTGCTTTCTAAATCGACTGTTTCTAGATTTTTAGATAAATTGTGCTCTGGAAGGTCTGTACGGTTTTTTTCAACAGGAAGTTCACTAGGATTTATTTTCAATGGCTCAACTGGTTTTGCATTATACATCGTAACATTTAGCATTTTTTTTCTAATGTATTTTGTGTTATTCATTTTGTCTGGAGAATTAAAAAATTTTCTATCAGATAACTGGAATAATATAGTTTCAGGATGGAATGTTGTTTCCTCCTCATCATTATTCTCCCCTGTATCATTTTTATGTCGTTGATTTATTTCAGCAGTATGGGTTGAATTAATATGTGTGAATGTGGAAAGATTGTTTCTTTCAATTTCATAAGACGATTGGTTTGACTAAAATATATTTTAGATTAAAGTATACTTTCTTTGACATTTATTAAGAATAAATTTGTTTTAGTCCTTAAAAAAATTTTATTTTTAGTTTCAAGTAAAAACTTGTTGATGACTTACTGGTGCTGGTGAAGTTATGGAATTAGCAACAATTGTCCATGGTTCTATGGATCCAATTATTATTATATATATTTGCAAAAATCGCAAAGGTCCACTTCTTAGAGAAAATCGATATCTTTCTTGAAATGTCATTGTCAGTCAAGAGTAAAAAATCCACATACTTGAGTAGACAGTTTAGATTTCCTTGGCCTAGTTTCTTATACTGATGTAGAATCCTGTAGATTTTTTATGTATAAAAAAGTGAACCGAAAAAATCTTAGATAAATAATTAAAATAAAATATATTACTAATTTAAAGCAGATTTACAACTTTAATATAAATGCTAGAAAATTATGTCTTTAATTTGGAAGATATTTCATTTATTTTGAACTTCAATTTGGTTTGATAAAATCTTTTGTTAATTATTCAGTGACATGAATGAAATTGAAAATTTCCTGTAGAAGTAATCGAAATTATAATTCAAAGCTTTCTACACTACATGGACTTATCTTTTAGTTGTAGACATTTAATTAGTTTTTTTTAATACAGCAAGTTTGAATTACTTAAATTCAAGTTTCAACAAAACTTGAAATGTACAAACAACATTATATTATCAAGATTTGATCGAAATAAAAGTTAAGTTTTAAAACAAAATTATAATGTCATATATGTTATAGAAAGTTTTTTGAATTTATTCTATGTGAAGTGAATCAAATTTTAGTGATGATTTGACATTTTATTTTTGTCTTTATTTATATTCACCCTACACCAATCATTTAATGATAATCAGATTTATGTTAATAAGATGGATTATGCTTATTATATCTCCCTAAATCTATTAACCTATCAAAAATTCCTGTCCAAACCAAATCCAGTTTGTCTATCAAGTTTTGACTCAAGTACATATTCTCTACAGTAGGATTGATTTGATACTTTAGAAAAGTTGGAAATTTAATTTAGTTAATTAATTTTCAATGATAAACCATAACTTTTTAGTTTAAAAAAAATAAACTTCAACTTTTCTCAACAAAAAAAATACCTTTTTTTCATCTTTTTAATTTATTATTTTTTTTCTTTGAAGATCTAATTCAATTCGAATTTTTAGTATAATTGAATACAGTGAATTTATAAGAGAATATTCCTCCAATATTCCATCTGAATTCCAATTGAATTGATCATTTTTTCACTAAAAAATGCATACTCAGGTACAACTGTTGGTTGTGTAAGCAAGTATCTTAGAATAAGAATCTACGTTTCGTTGAAAATAATTTATCTTGAGATTCATGGTTTTCTTAACAGTGATATATTGCACCGCAATCTACTGAGTCTTACAGCTAACATACATTTCTTCAGTTAAATAAATAAAATTGCCACCTTCGACCATTTATAAACAATTTATAATAATTAAAATGTAGAAATATTTACCATCAGTTTCCTGAGTAAATAAGAGTTTATTTAAACGGTGTATATTTATGAGAACAAAATCTAATATTACATAGATTACTTACGCAGCACAAAGCTTCAAGTGATAAAATAAAATGATCCTGGATTAGCTGCAGCACGAGTGTAGATTGAACATTTTAAATTATGAATCAATCTAAATGAAATGATTGGAACTTATTGATTTACATTCAATTGAACTAAATCGTGGCTAGTGGTAAGCTGAAAAATATTGGTCGTTTAATCTAGAATGTTTAATTGATTTCTAACTTGACTAACTGTTATATATTTCATCAGAGTTTATAGACGATTAAATCATCGACATTTCATTTGAACTTTCAAACAACATACATCTGTATATTTCAACCACTTATCTTAAATCTAAAGAAAAGATATTTAATATCAAAAAGTTTAAATTATCTGGATTATGAGAATTATCTGAGAAAGTTGGAAATACACTAGAGAAGATTAACGTTGGAAAAAAAGAGAGATGAGAAAATATTAAACCAATTTTCCTTGAGTGAGATGAGGTGTTTCTCGAGTTCAAGGGAGTCATATGGTCCTAAGTGATGATTCGAAGCTAGCCTTCGTCATGAGACGCCTTGTTTTCAAAGCACGTGCGATTCACCGGATCATCAAAGCACACCCGTATACACATATATATATATATATATCTCGGCGCGACGTTTCACCAGTACAAGACCTTTTCCACTAAGGAAACTTTTCAAATAAGATCGACTTAAGATTTCTCTCACGTCCATTGTAAGCATCCAATAAGTAAGGTCGAATATGGAATGTGTGAAAACGTAGTAGATATTTGTGTGATCAAACATGGAAATAAACAAAAATTTCATTAAACCGTCACTATCAATATTTGTATTGTTTATAGAATTGTGTACTATCGAGAAAGAGAGTTACCTTCAATGTATTGAAATTCCTATACAGTAAATACACACAGTAAACACAAGAAACGGAATAAAAAAATTTCCAGATAAGGATTTTATGTAAATGATAGAGTAAATAAAGATAGCAAATGTAATAAGTCTTATCAGAAAATACATTTCAATCTAGATTGCATTGAGGAAAGTTTTAGAAAATTAATTTAAGTTAATTATCAAAAGAATGGAATTGATATTAATTATAATCCTGTTTATCCTATTATTAAACCAAAATATTCCATCATTTTACTCTGTATATGAGTTTTGGTTTATTAGAAATTCTTTTCAATTTTATGTTGAAAGTAGTTAATATTAAACGAATATTAACTATTCTATTAAATATTGTTTCATAATATCAGTGATGAAAATCTTACTGTTTGAAGGAACGATTAATCTTTGTTATTTTTTTCAACACGAAAATGTCAGAGATACTTTATGTTCATTTATTCACCGTAGAATTTTTTTATTTTTATAAATTTTATTATTGGATATTCTTTATCACCTTTTTTTTTTGAAGTTTTATAGTAAAAGGTAAGTGCATTTCAGAATGTTTTACATGCTCTAAATTATAGAAAAAAAATTAAAGTCAGTGTGATCGATGAACCACTCTTTGGCCACTCGGTTCACACGCTACAAAAAAGTTAGACGATTGATCTACTAGAACAGTCAATTGGATAACCACTTTTTCAGTGTATAAATGCATCTGGTGCAGACGTGTTCATATGTTTACAATAAATTAATATAAATTTTTATATAGAGAAAATTTATTTTAAAATAATTGAAAAATACTTGGTGAGAAATATTTGAATTTAATTTATTTTTTATTCCATTTTATAATAAATTAATCATTAAATAACTAGATGAATATCTATCTTCAAGCATTATTATATTGTTAAATACTCGATATAGAATAAAAATTCAAACTATCCATAAAATATAATAGTTTGACCTTAGACATTAATTAAAGCAGTACTGCTTCACCTAATAATCTTCCAGACTCCAGATCTTTCCGCTTAGTTGGTAGGAAACGTCAATTCTCTATTGATTCCACTTGACCGCATACTTAGCTACTACAGTTCTCCTTCATCAACTTGGAGTATTTGCTTTCACCATGGAACCATTTTCACTCTTGTTTCCCCTCTTCTTGGTTCGAGCATACGAATATTGTGCAACAAGTCATCCTTCGATGAAGTAAAGGCTGTCAGATAATTCGCACATTCTTATCCAAATTCAGTCCATGGTTCTCTAGCTTCATATCTGCTAGATAGAACGTATGCATAACACGAAACTGAGAGTACTACCTCGATAGACTGTAAATTGGCTGTGAACAGGCGCAATCAACGTTTCCAGGTAGTGTAGATTCATTTTATCACTAAAGGGACAAGGGTTATATGAACCGGTGTGCCGTTCAGTATCTAATGAAATGAAGCTGCTCTATGCGTGGCCTTGGATGGCTTCTAGGACATGTCATGTTCTACATTACACGATAGATGGTTAAGCTGGTACATTCTCATGTCATGCTATATGACCCGGACCTTAAGGCTTAAGGTGGTAGGCGCGCCCCTGGCTACGGGTTTCCATGAGCGTGCGCGCTGATACAGGGTGGTTTTGTCTCTGTGCTATCCGAGGCCACCTCGATCAGACGCTCGGCAACTGCGTCCACGAAGCAGCTACGAGCTCTCTCTATTTTATGTCAACCTCTGACAGAATTTCCATTTCATTCAAATTTTTTTTTTTTTTTAAATTATCTTTTTCGACATTCACGACTGAGGTTGACTTTGATCAAAAATAAAAAAAAAAATTTTCAACCACTTGAACAAGTCTTGCTATCACCTCTGGTGGAAATAAACTGAAAATCTCGCGCGACCACCTGTAGTTATCGGAACGAGTTGGCGGTTATTCACGACTTCGTTTTGATGATGGAAAAGTGGATACTTTGAATCTAGAGATTACTAATAAAGAGTCAATATTAATTAGAAGAAAAATTAAGATAATCAAGGCTGATCGTTGAGAAGAGTTGCACTAAACAAAACGGGGAGAGACGGGGACTCGAGAACAAATCACCAGGATTACCACCAAAATGAAGACTTCATCATTCTCTTTACGTGTTATGCGTAGGGTAAGTCATTTTAATAGTTATAATTAATGTGTAGATAATATTTTATTGGCTATAAAATAACATACCGGATGTTGAAAACAAATTAAATATTTCTGTATTATACGGAATTTATTGTGTACAAAATTTACTGTAAAATGTAAATATTTGTTGTTTGGACTATTTTTTAGATATCTTTGTTGTGAATTAAAGAAACATTCATTATTTGAATATTCAAATGAAGAGTAAAGAGGTAAAGGGCTTTTGTGAGTTTAATTGTGAGGATTTGAGTACAAACGTTGGTGTTTGACATTGATCTTTTGAGACAATTTAATGAGTAAACTTTTTTTACACTTATAATTATGAAAATATATATTAATCACGCGGATTAACTTTTGACTTGCATTTATTTCGTGTTTATGCAATGTTGTAAAATTTATATAAAGAATTCTTTCAATATAATCATTTCATGCATATTGAATTCGAGATAAAAAACCATATATTCAAGGAACATTCATTTGTGTATAACATAAATATAATATGTCAAGGTGAATCATTAAAATTCAAACGAATATTGGAAGTTTCTTCCGGAATTCACATGCTTTTTATACCCTTTAAAATTTTCTCTATAATGTATTCTAATACTGACGAGTATGCGACGTCATTGTTACAGTGACTTAACGATTGTGATGTATAACATGTGATTTTTGAAATTTTTATCATCTGCTAATTTTAAAAAACAAGTTTATTTATTATTTCTAAGTACTGATACATCATTGAGCCAATCAAATATTAATTATATATCCACTGACACGCAGAAATTCTTCTTCATTTTTGTACCCTTTGATCTAAATAATTTGATGGAAATAATTTTTTCAATAAAAAATTGTGATAAAAATACTTTTTTCACACTGAAACTCAAGTATATTCTCGAGTAAAATTCTATAAACTAGTGTTATCAATAAATGAGAGCATGGTTAGAATCTAACACCAAAGTAAATGATTTACCTATACATATTTAATAATTCATGCTATCACGAAGGAAAATACGATTTCAACAAATTCAAAGGATCAACGAAATAAAATAAACTTCTTCCTCAGCTCAAAGAGGATTGGTAACGTTGCATTTCTAAGACTAATTTTTTTTCTCACTCACAGTTCATAAAAAATTTATGACGCAAACTGATTTTTTTTTATTCCATCGAATTTGTGATAAAAGCTCGGAGTGAATGAAACAGCAGAAATAATTTGGTTTATTGAACGAAGCATGTTGATGATATCGCAAAGACATTTAGAATAATGCTAGAGGTACATTAGTCAGATGAAGATAAATACTATCATTACCTTTGTCCTTGTATAGTAGGAGTTCATTTTTAAATTGCTATAAAGTGAAATTTAAAGGTGTTAATCTAAAAACTGATGACTCAATTCTGAGTAACCTGCAACTGTAATCACAATCTCGTCGTCAATTTTGATTAATTTATATTAAACAAATGGAATTAATTTTCTCATTTAAATATCTTTAGATCTCATTCCTCATCGTGAGCTTATTTCATATTTAATTAACGACGTAAAAAATCTATTAAGTTTTAACTTCCACGATATCATTCAGAAAATACTTAATTGGATAATTAAAATGCTAATTTTTCTTTATTTATGGAGATGATCTTGATAGTTTTAATGCTATTACACTTATCTCATACAAATTATTTATTAATTACTCACGAAAATATTTATTTATATTTTTTTTTTTTGAACTTAAAGACTGCAATAAAAATTCATCGACACGTACAGTGTTGAGATTAAATCATGTGTAATAATGTTAAGAAGGTTTTAGGTAATTAAATGTCAACCGTTGAAACATTTACCGTTGGCAACTAAAGAAAAGTGTTTGTGGACATTTCTTTGCCCAAAAGAACAAAAAATTAAATTGAAACAAAGCCTTTCTAATAAAAGAGAAAAGCTTGAAATTAATTCAATTATATTGTTCATAAAATTTATATCAACACCGTTACAGTTAATTATTTTTTATTCCCACGAAATATTATTTTATTTTATTACTTTTAACCATGAACATTCCTAAATATTCAAGAAGCATAGAATAATAAATTATCAAAGGTAAAACTTGGTGATTTCTAATAACTCTAGAGGTGTTGGTAGTGAATTCAACAAAAAAATATTTGAAATTCAAATAAGCTGACGCGGCAAAAAATCTTCAATTATTTCAAACCATTCGCTGTTACGTAAGTTAACATTCTATTTCCGCTTCTTCTACAAGTTATTTCCTATTTCTTAGAGTTCGCAATATACCACCATATTGACTACTTTGTTCGAGTTTTGATGAGTAAAAGTATAATAAAAATAAGACAACTTGAAATATCTTTGACTGGTCAAAGAAATAAAAAGCAATTGGCACTTCGACAAAGAACAATTGAATTATTATATTATAGGAAATATTTTTAATCATCTACACTTTTTCATTCACTTTTAAAATAATAATAGTAATAATAAAGATGATGGAGTAGTGAAAAAGAATTAGATCATTAGAAAAAATATAAAGGATTTGGTTCTTTTTCTACACACTTGAGTGAAAAATTTCAATTATGAAGTATAAAATAAATACGTGTTGTAGAAAGGAAAAAAAGAGAAAAATAAATAAGTATTACATTTCAATTAACGAATGGAAGGAAATAATAAAAAGAAATACTTCAACTTCTCCACGATCGTACAGTTTTATTTCTACGACGATAGGTATGCCAAGCGAAGAGAAATTGGCGGAAATTACAGAGGGAGTTCTTGACACGATCGTATCAAGGTGAAAACAATTACTTCAGTTGTCTATTTCCGTTTACTGCTGGAAATCAATTATAATTCACGAACATAATAGCGGATATGGTTTTCGTACAACCACAATGACATGGTAATTGTAAAATAATTAACATTCACTGTATATACGAATATTATTATTAATTTTAATTAAAATAATTTTTAAATAGTTAATAAATTCCTCTGTGATGCTTCATGACTATTCATAAGTTGTAAATTAAATAAAACAATTAGATAAGTCTATTGAAATGTCACAAAGTTTGGTAAATTCATCATAAAATGAATAGATAATTTATTTCGTGGTTAAAACGTTAATAGAAAATTAGGATTATATACTTACATCATGTCTGCAAATGTATCATAAAGGTCACACAATAAACTTCCGACCTGGAACCAACAAAAATATTAACTATTAAAACTGGAAAGTATGTTTTACACGGGAATGCATTTTGCTTAGTGTGGTTTTAAATGAAGAGTAGTCAAGTTGTTTTATACAGAGTTAGTAGACACTCAAACAACCTTTGTTTCATCAGACATTTCTTGGTTATGTCTTGGTCAGCTAAACGTAATTTCGCTTTACCACCAACTTTCTCTACGGTTGACGTTAAAAGTTCAAAAGACTTTATGAAAACTAAACAATTTTCTTCATTCCATTTGGCTTCTCACGGTTAAATTTTCTAAGTTAGTTCTTTTAGAATCCAATGTCCAGAATTCTTTCTTTTCAAGTTTCTAATTTGAATCGATTTCTTCCAAGTATCAACAAAAAACTTAAACTCAAAATGACATTATTAGATTCGTTCTTTTAATTAAAAATATTGTGTTCATTACTTTGCAATATTTTAAAGAAAAATTGCTACTACATTTATTAATCCCACTGGAAGGAACAATTCTCCAGTTTTAATTTTCTTTTTGCTAAACTATCTGTGATAATTAATTTGTAGTCAAGTAATTGAGTCATAAAATACTAGAATGGCTCTCACTTAAAATGAAGATAATTTCGTGCGAAAATTTGTAGAATTGACCAATTAAAAATATTTCCTTTATTTAATTCTACAGATATTTTAATTATATATATTTTTTATTTTTCTAAACATGATAAGATATATTATAATTCCAAGTAATAAAATAGTTTCGACCATGCATTGCACGTACAACATACATTTGAACATATGTTTACATATAAATTAACATAAATAACGGGTATAATGAGGGTCTGTTCCTAGACATCCTGTTACTTTTATTTAAGTGATACTAGAGAAAAGGTTATTACATCGTGTCGCTCTGCTGCCCTATAAAATTTTTTTTTTATGTATCACAACCAAGGATTCTACCCTCTGCAGCCCTTATCATTTTTAATCTATTATGGCCTTCTATAAACTAATAATACCGTACGTAGTTAAAAAGCTTCTTGAACATTCCTGTCAGCAGCGATAGGATGAATGAATTAAAATGAAAAAGAAAAAAAATGAGGAATCTATTTTAGTCTTCTCTTTAGAATGACTTGAAAAATTCAGACTGTCATGACACATGCCGATGAGAATAATTAATTTTTATATTCAAATTTGATAATGAAGAGTATATCAAAGTGCTAGAATGATCAAGATACGAGAAAGCAATTAGTGTATATAATTTTACAAAGAGCTCTACTAGGATTTAGCATATCAAACGTTGGAATCGAGCATTAGTTGAACTCGTAATTAAGTAGCTAATTTTGCAAACACGGATACAAGCAGAGATGAATTAGGAATAATCGATTAAACTATCATTGACAAATTATCATCACTCGCATTTTCGATTAATGCCTTCAATGAAATGAAGGACAGACAAGGATTAATTCCTTTAGCCAGTTACATGCTTCAGATTAATGCCCCACTGAGACTCAGGCAAAGAGCTTCTATATATACTTGTTATACACGTATTAATACAACGTATTTGCATGCACTCTTGCTGCATAAATATGAAATAGCTTGTGAAGATAAAGCTATATATTATACAACCATAAATTTCATACATAACATTCATCTCAAGGTTGAAGTATTGAAAGACGACGAAATGAGTTTCCTAAGTTCGTCTAACTCTAGTCGATTAAACAGTTGTTATTTATAATTCTTTTTAACTTGCTTTTGATATCTTTTTTCCATGAATACCATTCACCATGGTGTCGTGTACATTCCACTTCCATTGTTTAATTATTACATTGATTTAATGTGTGAAAAATTCATCGATGAATATTCATAGGATTAATTCTTATTTTTATATAAAAAAAATATTTTTAAGCTTTATTACGAAAAGTAGAATAGAACTATTAGTAGTCAGCCGTAAGCTGAAAGTTTGTTTTTGCTGTTTGTAGCAGCTGGAATAGAAGAGGAAAGCTGCAAAATAGAAAATAGGAAATTGACTTTTAGTTTAAAGCTTACTATGTTAGTTGACTATTCAGGACTAAATACGTGTCTGGACTATAATTAATTGGATATAATGAATATATGTTCTCTACTTATAACCTTAGTACATATTAAAAAGCACTAGAATATAACAAAATTTATTTATCAACTTCTTTCTCATACTTATTAAGGTAAAAAATAAGAAAAATATTTATAGCTCCTCCAAAATGATCTACAGACCTCTATTCAGCCTACCTTTCACCCTTATTTTGTCTCCATATTCTTTTTTTGGCAAATTACACTCAACACAAACAGTGTACATGAATAATTTTGATTCTAAACGTTTATAGATTGTAACATTAGTAATAAACCCTTTGTGATACTTCTGTCACGTTATGAATAATTATTATATTCATTCAAATGACAACTATTATAGCTGTTATTAATAGAGGAACTAACAGAACAATTAACAACACTCGGACGACAATGAAATGATTTATCTTGTTCTATAATGGCTGTAGTGAAGCACAACATCAAAACAAAGTCATATATTTAAAATAGTTACAAAAGAAACAATTTTATTGGCAATTAGCTTGATTAATTAATAAACTTTCAGAATACGAGTAATAAAAAATTGAATGATTGAAAATCGATTACAATGTTTACCTAGACAATTAGCAATCTAAAATTAAATATCATTCAATCGTTCATTTCTTATGTCAATAGGAATTTCAATTATTTTTAACTTGATCTTATTATTTATAATTTTTGTTTATATCGATTATTTTATAAATATGGATTTTTTTCAAAGGCACTAGTAATAAAAATAGTTGCAGACACTGAATATTCTTTCTTAAACAACCATCCATTTTCTCTCCCTTATTTTACAAAGCAAATTGTCGTTATGTCTCACCTCGTCAATTTCTATGCAAGAATATAATACTGTGTTGTTATCTCCATCTGGCAACATATTCAAAATCTTCCTCGTAGTTACATTTCTGCATGAATAATATATTAAATTTTACGTAGTACAGCATCAGTAAAATATCTCATCAAAAAATATTTTTCCAAAATTCAAGATTCTGTAACGAATGAGTTTGTATGAAAAAATAGGAAAATATTCTTTGATCTTACTCCGTACACCGAATAATAGTCGTAATTGTGGCTCTCTTTTGTATTATACCATCCTTTTATCTCCAACACTTAAAGTTTTTATAATGATACTCAAGTGCTCTAGCCATTATCTTTATGTAAAGAGAATTGATCATTAAATTTGAATGGCTTTGATATCGATTATCTCTTTGAATGCATGTATTTATCCTTATTATCGCAAATATTTCAATGAAAGTTTTGTAAACTTCATAGTTAGCTGGAAATGTAATTTTCTGCTAGAATATCATACATTTACTCAATACGATATTGATTCGATCGTCGTGCATGTAAATGGAAATATATCAAATTCCGAATATGTATAGTAGAATAGCAAATGAGGAAATGAATATATAGTCGGTAATATAATAGCTTGCAAATGACATTTCCGGCTCATTTGTGTTTACATCAACTCAGATTCTGAGACGATTTCGCGGGTTTAAATACAAAATCAAATGATCAGATTAATGCTGTTGGAGATGAATGAGTAAACTTTAGAATGTGATGAAAATCACAAAGTGTAATTTTACATAAGAGTTATTGAGTATTTTTCGATAATAAAATTGATTACTCAATAACTTTTATCATTAGTTAACGTTAGAGTTGCATAGAATCTTTATTATTTAAAGGCTTCTGGAATTGATTAGATCGACTGTGATTTTATCTTCTCCTCTTTCCAATATCGCAGCAAATAGATGTAATTCAAGCCCTTTTATATAAAGAATCCCTCAGTTATTTTTTTTTTTTTATTAAAATCAATTGAATAAATCAGATCAAAACATATTATTAAAGAAACTCTAATTATTTTTATATATCCGGATTTGAAAAAATAAAGAAGATATTTTTTAAATAGAAGTAAAATTGAAATATTAGTTTAATGCATTCTTTCATTAGTAGTAAATAATAGAAGAGTATTTATTAATTATATGAACTAGAAATAAAAGGATTAAATTAATAAAAATAATTGAATAAACCCATTGCGCATTCAATTTTATTCCACTAATAAATATTTCTAAAAATCAGCAAAATAGGAGTGTCCTTTTGTGATGCTATAGCTACAGTATATTTAATTATAATCCACATGCTCAATAGCATTTTATTTCTCTTAGTATTATGCAATCAACACAGCTTTTTTTAAACTATAGATATTCATTAGATGAATGAGAATTTTTTTTATCTTCACTTTGTGTTGAATGATTCATTAACCTAATTAAAATTGCGTTATCGTTAATTGGAGAGGAAAGAAAATATAGCAAGAGAATTTATTCTGATTCTTATAATTTAGTATGGGAATAACACCTTTGAATACACAAGGAGAGTAGGAAAACCTATTAATCGAAATTACTTATCCATTAACAATGATAATTCTAGTTTATTCGAGTGTGACAATAAATATAAATCTATAACAATACAAGCTCTCTATCTTTCACAGAAAATAATTTATGTTTTACCAGAACAATAAAAATTATATATCTTTATCAATTCCATATCATAAATTAAAATCACTGGCTTTTCACAAAGAGTTTAATTCATGTAGCTCGTTTATTATTGAAAAATGATTGTAAGCTTGTTACTACTGAATCACTAGAAATAATTTTAATTAATCTATTATTAAAAATCCTATTATTGTAATTGGTTTGACCAATTTTAATTCAGAACATCAATTCGAAATTATTGAATGAAAGGATGCAGAATGATTAAATTTTTATCAGAATCCATTTTTTTTTTTTTCAAAGTTCATAAGTAGAATAATCCATTTTTGTTCCGACACCACACTGAAATCTAGAGTATTATGATACTTTGATAATTTTTTTAGATTATTGAAGGATAAAAATAAATGTAGGCTCAAAAAGTTAA